AAGAGAAGAGAAGAGAAGAGAAGAGAAGAGAAGAGAAGAGAAGAGAAGAGAAGAGAAGAGAAGAGAAGAGAAGAGAAGAGAAGAGAAGAGAAGAGAGAGCAGGTATGATTCCCTTAGCAGAGCATGTGGTTTCTACAAGAAGCAGCTGCACCCCGGAGAATAAACTCGACAAACTTAGCCCTGGGTCCCTGGGGACACTGCTGCCACCTCCTCCTCCCCAGCACGCTGCAAGCCACCGCCAGCTCTGCAGTTCGCAGCAGGTTTGCCACGGCTTTTGGCTGCAGACATTTTGGCCACGTCCCCATCACTGGTGATGCCCTACAGCATGAGCCACGGCAGAGCCCGAGGGGCTCAGCGCCTCCCCGCTGCCCCTCCTCTGCCCTGCGCCAGCACAGACCAGCACACGGGCTGCGGCGGTGGCTTCACCAGCCGGGTGACGTGAACTCTTCAAGGCATGTCAGACAAGAACAGCTAGAAGAAAACCCATTCTTCAGCCTGCATATCCTACTTTAGACTCTTAACAATTCAAACCTTCCAAGAGCCCCAGAAAGACGAGGGGCAGGACACACAAAAGGCTCCTGTCCTTAATGGCCACTAACACAGGGCCCGGCAAACGCTTCTGGCATATATATTCTCCTCTTACTAAAGCCAATGGAAGAGTGATGAGGATTTCAACGGGAAAAGATCAAGCTGCACCAGCAGAGTGGCAGAGCGGGAGGGCAGGCGGGAAGGGATGCTCCTGCGCCGGGTGAAGACCTGACCGGCACAAGGCCCCTTTCTGCCTTCGCTGTGTCTTTGGCCGGGGACTGAGCTGCAGCCGCGAGTGCCGCTCCTCCGCACCACGCCGAGCGAGGGGGATGGCGGCCGAGCACCCTGTGGGCTCTCGCATGGGGATGAGCACAATTCGCCTGAATATGGACATCGCCGACCGGTCGTTAAAAGAAAATCAGGCAGTGGAGTTTGGGGTTTGTGCAGTTTTAAAAAATTCACGTTGCTGTGCGATCTGGAGGGAGGAGGGGGGGTCTTGGCTCTTGCTGGGGCACACGATCCACCAGTACAGACAAGCACAGTCCATAACAAAGCACCATGTCACCACCAAAGGCTAATCAGGGGCTTCCCAGCCCACCTACTGTTTAGAAACCCCCCCACCAAAAAGTGGGGAGCAGAACCCAGCTCCCAATGTATCAGCGTCCTACGGTGAGGCACCGGGGTGTCCTGCAGCACCCAAGGGTGGTCCTCAGGCCAGGCTCTAGAGCACACACCGGTGCCTCAGCTGCACTCAAAGCTTCTGCCTCTGCAGCGCCGCGCATGAATCCCCCCCCCGCGGCCGAGTGTTGGGGCTCCTCAGTTCGAATGCAGCTACACCAAGCGGCACTGCTGTCTTTGGGGATCCAAACCAGCGCTCCATGCCATCTGATGCCCTCAAGGTCTCCGTGTAACCCAGCCGAGACGAGCCCCAGCGTCTTGTGGTGGTGCACCACGCGGTACTGGACAGGGACGTCCAACCCAAAGCCACTCAAAGGCTGGAAGCCCTATAACCGCATCGGCACAGCTTGCTCCCGCGCTGCGGGTGCCCCACACCTAACACAGAGCATCGAGAGACAGCAAAGCTTTTGCGAGGTTTCCCCTTGACCCCAAGTCCCTCTCCATTGCTCCCGGCTCCAGCCGTGGCTCGGTACAGCTTTCCCTTCCTCGCGTACAGCTGTTTCTAAAGTTCCTGTGGTTTTACATTTCAATTTATATTTTTCACCAGTGTAAATCATAGGAGGAAAACGACGTCAGGCTGGACATCCACAAAGAGCCAGAAACAACGTTTAAAAACTAACCCGTTATCCAATTCCCCTCCAATCTATGGTGTAACAACATCGAACCAACCGTAAAAACACGTACTCCCGGCAAG